TATGCTTCCCAAGTACTTGAAATGCTCCACATTCTCCATCTGTTGGTTTCAGTTATACGTGGAGTAATTTAATTTAGGTACTGAACACTGTATTAACGTCACTACAGATTTTAAATTCAGACTTCAGCGTCTGGTAAGCATCAACATGTATATACTTAATACATCGCCTTTGTATTTCCTTTCGAAAAATAGTCAAACGTGCGAGAAAGCAAATACAGGACCTCGGTTAAGAATTAAGTAATCCATTCAAAGGCTAACTAACGCAAGGCCTGTAATTATCTTAGTCCCGCGAGCAGCTGAAAACAGGGCGAGATAAAATTATCACCGGCTGTTTAAGGTCGGAATTAATATTCACGTCCACCTTGCGTCTTGTCGCATGGCAACATTGGTATCAAACATAGCGTTTATGTTTAAGCATAAAAATTGGAATATTTCGAGGTTGAAAAGAGATTACAGTATCCAGTGTGAATGATAAGACGAACGACTGGCAATGACAGCGGATAATCAAACGTACTTTACGTCTAAAAACACGTTTACGGTAGGTTGCTTAAAACACTTTAATATTTAAGGAAAAATACATAGACGTATTTCCGTTGGCCTACGGGTTTATAAAGGATAAAATCCTAGTAACTCTCTTCATACTTTCATTTCATATCCGGGATTATAACTGAGAATCACGAGGGGGGCAGGGGGGGGGGCAGCGACGCTTCGTGACTGTTAAAGTTTCGCAGAATCCATTTTCTTCTGTTTCAAGACATGATGTAGGCATTTGGCTGAGATTACTAAGGAAAACCACGGAAATATCTGAATACACGATCCCAGGCCGACAGCACACCAAATGTGAGGCAAAAATATCTATGTTTCTCTCTTTGTCTCGACGCGTAACAACGAATGTGAGGAGCGTAATGTAATGCATTTTGCAGGGTTTTATTAAATAAACAATCAAAATGAGTTAATCTATTCAACGCAAATTCAGATTAAATTAAGTGAAAATTTGCTCTCACATTAAGGGAAAAATAGAAATTAGGGGTGTTTGGAAACAGGATTCTGAGAAAAATACGGGACCCAAAATGAATGAGGTAACAGATTGATTATGAGGAACTTTATATTATAATTTGCATGACCGAAATAAACTTTATTAGTTCTCAGAACAACCAAGATGTATAATTTAACTAAGCCACAATACCTTGTGCCATTCTCGTACTAAACATTCCTTGTACCAACATAGTTAACGACCCTACAAACACCATTTAAAGTCCTCGTTTGTTAGTGTAAAAAACAGGAACAAATTGATATCCCAACACAGACAGCCTTCGTCCACGGTTTAATATTTCAGAGATCGAGCTTAAAGTGTCTGTCTGTTTCTATGAGCTAACTTTTACAAGGCTTATAGTGACGGGATATATTAACCGGACTGTGAACAGAAAATACATTACCGACCGAAGTCTAGACATCACGTGAGGACGTCCTGAGTTTAATCTCTGACACGGAGACCAGCTACTGTAACAGTTTTCTGTGGTTTTCCTCAGTCTCCGCTAGTAAATGACGGGAAAATGGGCTACTTTGAAGTATACCACAACAGATTCCTTAACCATCCTTTCAAATTCATTATTCATTTTTCATCCTATCACAGGACATGCATATTCTAAAATAATCGTCATCAATTACGTCATACAACAAATGAAAGGGGAAAAATTCTTGAAGAGATGAGCGGATGTTTTATTTACAAGACGACATTTGTAAAAATTACGTCACTGCAGTTATTATTATTATTAAGTGTTCTGTCTTACGACAGGTCCATTGCTCTGCCCAAAAAGAGCTCTCCAGTTGTCCCTATTCTCGGCTTCTCGCTTTAATTCCTGGAACGTCATCTTCTTTCCTTGTTTAAGGTCGTCGGTTAGCTGTATCAGTCTTCTTCCCAGTCCTCGCTTTCCTTCAACCTGGCCTTCAATGATATCACTCAGTACCCCATTCCTTCTCATAATATGTCCCAGCCAGTTAGCTTTCCTTCGTGTAATCGCATGCAGAATGTTTCTTTGCTCGTTGACTCTTCTCAATACTTCTTCGTTGGTCACTCTCCAACACCACATTTCAAAACTCTCCAGGTATTTCTGTTCCTTCTTCCTGAGTGTCCAAGTCTCTGCTCCATACGTAACACTTCACTAGTTTCTTCTTCATCTCCAAGCCCAACTTGCTAGTGAGAAGTATCCTCTTCTTGACGAAAGCTGCCTTGGCCATGGCTATCCTTGCTTTTACTTCCTTGGTGCATAGGGCGTCCGTCGTGACTATGCTTCCCAAGTACTTGAAATGCTCCACATTCTCCATCTGTTGGTTTCAGTTATACGTGGAGTAATTTAATTTAGGTACTGAACACTGTATTAACGTCACTACAGATTTTAAATTCAGACTTCAGCGTCTGGTAAGCATCAACATGTATATACTTAATACATCGCCTTTGTATTTCCTTTCGAAAAATAGTCAAACGTGCGAGAAAGCAAATACAGGACCTCGGTTAAGAATTAAGTAATCCATTCAAAGGCTAACTAACGCAAGGCCTGTAATTATCTTAGTCCCGCGAGCAGCTGAAAACAGGGCGAGATAAAATTATCACCGGCTGTTTAAGGTCGGAATTAATATTCACGTCCACCTTGCGTCTTGTCGCATGGCAACATTGGTATCAAACATAGCGTTTATGTTTAAGCATAAAAATTGGAATATTTCGAGGTTGAAAAGAGATTACAGTATCCAGTGTGAATGATAAGACGAACGACTGGCAATGACAGCGGATAATCAAACGTACTTTACGTCTAAAAACACGTTTACGGTAGGCTGCTTAAACCACTTTAATATTTACGGAGAAATACATAGACGTATTTCCGTTGGCCTACGGGTTTATAAAGGATAAAATCCTAGTAACTCTCTTCATACTTTCATTTCATATCCGGGATTATAACTGAGAATCACGAGGAGCGTCAGTATCCTATCCGCGGCCACAGTATAAGCTGCCTGTGTTTATATAAATGTTACGAAAGATCCCCATTAAATTCGAAGGATGCCTGGTACGCCCACAAATCCTGTCGGAGTAATTTGTGTTCCGTATCCCATCTAAAATGTAAATATTAAACATTAACTGTAATGTTATTTGTTTTTGTATGTACAAGAAACTCAACCACTCTTCAAGTTAGCAGAACACAGCTTTAGGGCTCCATAATTTTCATTCTTCGAGAAATATTACCGAGGTTTCATCGTCCAAAAATGAAGTGATTGGCGAGGCATGTAACACGCTTGGAAGATACGACAGATTCGTACAAGTTTAGTTGGAAAACATGAAGGAAAGAGGCCATTTGGTAGACCTAAGCGTAGACAAGAGGATATTTGAGGGATTTAATTGAATATCTGGTGAGAATGTGAACTGGGCTCAACTTGATAAACACACGGACAGTTGTAAACTGTTGGCAAGACAATAATAAACATGTTTACAACAACAAATAAAAATATCTTGACTATTTTAATGACTGTTACGTATTTAAGAGGTTATCATGGGACATGCATGCATTATTTCATACCCGCTTGTCAACAAATTTTGTCATACGGTACGAAATGTTTATGATCTAGGCACAGATTATAGTTTCTCTTTGGTTAAACGTATAACAGTAAGTCAGGGGCGGAAGATAAGTATTAACCATGTTAATAGTGTTAGCCTGGCTAACACTTTACAAAACGAAATACGAAAATAATTCTGTGTGACCTGGTGGTTCTCCAAATACTGGCCCACAGCAGGACCCATCAGACAACTTGCAATGTTAGCCAGTTAGTTGAGGCTTACGCCCGCAGGGAGCGTACCACAACAATTCATGCTGCCATCTATGAGCGACATCGCGAGATACAACGGCCGAGGTTTACTGAAAGCCCTACACACATTGCGTCTTCCTGCCTGTGTCGTCCATCATCCGATCGGACTGCCATCTGTCAGTGGCTGTGTGGAGACTCCTTGATATCACAGAAGTATAATGAATGGTTTTGTCAGCAGAATCGACGTCGGGTATGGACGACGTCGGAGGCGGAGTAAAGCGCCGTCGTTCGCGGACCAACTTCAACAGCTGGCAGCTGGAGGAGCTCGAGCGCGCCTTCCTCGCCAGTCACTACCCGGACGTGTTCATGCGGGAGGCGCTCGCCATGAGACTCGACCTCAAGGAGTCGCGAGTCGCGGTGAGTGGACTCAGCTAGCTTAACAGCGCGCAGTTACGGAACTTCGCTTGTTTCACTCTTAGCGTTGAAGAACAAGACTTAGGCCAATATGGCGGGGGATCTCGACGGGTCAGGCAGCTTATACCAGAGACTCAGAAAGCTCACTTGCCTTAGATGCAAAGGGGACATACATGGGGTTCTTATGAACTACACGGCACGAGCTTAGGGAAGTGTTATGTGCACAGACGCGAGGGGGAAAAATGTAAATATGGGTCCTTGGACGCTTAATTTCTGAGCTATGGCCCTCAAGATCGCCTTACTTAAACCCGCTCAATTGTTTTATTAATTCGAAAATCATTTTTTAATCTACAGCGGTTAATGAGCTGAAACAGAAGGTATAAATACACATGTGAGCTAATTCATAACATGATTAGAATTTATTATCTTCTTCGATAATCTTTGATGAGATACGCCAAACATATTCTGAATACCGGACACGCATATAACACAATAACAGGAACAATGGATATTTTAAAAATAGTACAAAATAAAAGACATAGAGATACAATAGAAAAATATTATATACAACAAACATTTAAACAAAAC